ATATCCCAAAGCCTTGAGATGGCTGTGGATGCCCATAACAACGAGCTGAATAGAAGCAAAGCTCAAGAAGAGGCTGAGGCTAGGCGTAAGGTTGAGGAGGAGGCTGAGGCTGAACGTAGGACTGAGGAAGAGGCCGAAGCGAAGCGTAAGGCTGAAGAGGAGTCCGAGGCCAAACGTCGGGCTGAGGAGGAGGCCGAGGCTAAACGTAGGGCTGAGGAGGAGGCTGAGGCTGAACGTAGGACTGAGGAAGAGTCCGAAGCTAAACGCAGGGCTGAGGAGGAGGCTGAGGCTAGGCGTAGGGCTGAGGAGGAGGCCGAGGCTAAACGAAGGGCTGAAGAAGCTGAGGCTGTCCGAAAAGCCGAAGAGCTTGCTTCCAGGGTTCTTGAGTGTAGAAGAGCGAAGGAATCTTCCAGTGCTGCGTTGAATAGTTTTACCGATCTCCTGATATCCCAAAGCCTTGAGATGGCTGTGGATGCTTACAACGACGAGCTGAATAGAAGGAAAGCTGAAGAGGTTGAAGCAGTTCAAAAGGGATGTGGGAATGATGAAGCTAAAGGTCGGGCAGGTGGTGTTTCTGTGGAGGCTGTGGTGAAGGAGGTTGCGTCAGGGTGCCTGACTGATTCTTATGCATTAGCGGCGGAGTACAGGAGGAATGAGGGTTATGGGGGTGTAAGCTTGGAAGAGTGTGATAAGGAAGGTCTCGTTGTGACGGAGGGGGTGATGTGTGAAGCTCTGGATCAGCAGACTGGTGGTGCAGAATCTCCTGTGTCTCAGGTCTTGGAGGGGTCCTTATTAAGCAGTCGTTTTGCCGGTGTTACTGAGAGCGGAGGTGTTAAGAATGAACCGTCAGTCAGTGTCGCGGCAGCTGAATGCTGTGAGTCATTAGAGATGACTGGAGGTAAGAGTGTTGCGACTGCGGCACTGACACAGAGTCAGAGTACACATATGAGCATATTCATTCTGGGTGATGCGCTGGTAGATGAGTTTGTGCGTGCTGCAGCTACGGAAGTAGCGTTGCGAGAGGCTGCAGTGCCTGTCTCAGGCGGTGGCGTTGGTGCACTGAGCGCTGCTCCAAGTGTGGCTAATGGCGCTCTGTCAGCTGCCAATGTTTCTGCAACTTGGCCTTCCACGCAACCGGGGGTCGGAACAGTTTCCCCTCCTCAGCCGGCTGTATCCACGGACACACCGCTATGTGTGGCTCCTGTAGCCAGCAAGGGGTCCGGCAGCAGCGGCGCCGTGACGGATTCCGTGACGACGTACGCAGTCGAGCGTGCTGGAGTCGCGGTTGCGGCGCTGGGCGAGACAAGTGCACTCTCATACGCGACGGTGGAGGCGGCATTGCGGCGCGGCATTTTAGAGGCCGCCGCAAATGCTGCACTGCCAGGCGAACTCACAGAGGAGCAAGTTGCGGGGCTGCGCGCGCTCGCTGAGCGCATTGCCTCCGACTACATTGACTTTGCGTCAAAGCGGAAGTTGAACACTTTGGATGAGTGCCTATGGCACACAGATGCGTTCTTATCACCGGATCAAGTTGCTTCACACGCCATCGACGTTGTGTCGCCTTGCCGTTCCTTTGAGGGCCTGCAGCGCAGTGACGTGAGTTTCTTGACGCACTACTACGTGGAGTTGGCGCGTAAAGGCGGCACTGTTATGGATGATGTGCACACGGAGGCACGACTGCGTGAGAACCTGTTTGAGCGGTGGAGCAATGATATCGTTACCGCCACCTCACTGCAGACCAGGAAGAGAAACAGCAACAGCAACAAGGGAAATGACAGTGGCAGCGTTCTCTCAATTGACCGCCGCCGTGCGGGGATGACGCAGTTGGTGCTCGGTCATGCGTTGGACAATTTGCTGGAAGACGTGGTCGCGGACACCGCCAAGTGGATCGCGTCCCTCGCAACCGTGTAGGGCGGGCGCAAGAGGAGGGCAGAGGGCCACAATGATGAGAGCTGCGGTCGTCATCACATGAATGTTTGTGGAATTGCTGCTTTTTTTTTGTCTTTTTGTTTGTTTGTTTGTGGGGTGGGGTGCATTCCTCTCTCTTATTCCTGTACGCATTCGAGATTTGTGATCCTATTCCGTTGTTGTTTGCTCCCATCACCGACAGTGAGTTGCTGATGGAGATGGCCAGAGGGCGTGTGTGTTTTTTTTTTTCCTTTATGATGATTTCCTTTGTGGACGGGTATGCCCCAGGGAAAAAGAACGGTACTGGCAGCCGTTTCAACAATTCTGCGCCAATACCACACGCAGAGACCCAGACAATGTGTCGCTGATAGGAGTTTCACTTGTTTCGTTTTTCTCTTGGTTGGCTTCTCGCCGTCGTTTGCGGGGTAGTGAAGGGATGGATCCGTTCGCGTTTGTCGTGCAGGGCATCGATAAGCGTGTGCGCGTGTACACCGTGAGCAACGAGGCGGTGAGCGGCACGCTGTTGGCGGTGGATGATCACTGCAACGTAATGCTGCGCGACTGGGGCACCGTGGGCGAGGACGGCGTGGAAACGACGCGGCCTGTGACGTCTTCGTCGTCGCTGCCGGCCCCCATTCGTTTCATCCGCGGGGCGCAGATCAAAACCATCGTGCTCGCGCAGTAGAGAGGCGGCAACGTGGGTCGCTGTTGGGAAGGGGTGATTGTGGGGGACGCAGTCGATTAAATGGCATGAGGGAGGAGCGAAATGAGGGATGTGCGTGTGTGCGGGAGAAGTGCCCAGGGCTGCGGCATCGAATGTCCGCGAGTGCTGTTTAATCAAAAACAAAACTAAAACAACTAAAAGGGTGTTTTGATTGTGTGTCTTTGTGAAGGATGTCATGTTGCCACTATGTACTCTCCTTTCCCTGCTTCTTGTTGCCCGCTCTCCGTGTCTGTATCTATTGCTGGAGGGAGCAACACGAACGTAGCACACAAGGGACGATTCCGCACAAGATGAATCCTGCGGGAGAGGTGATGTACGACACATCGGCACTGCCGCCGCGGCGCAGTATGACGCAGTCGCACTACACCGCCGCGGAGGTGCAGGAGCGATACGCCCGGCAGGAGAAGGTGGGTGAGGGGTCGTACGGCGTCGTGTACAAGTGCCTTGACAAGCAGACTGGGCAGATTGTCGCGATGAAGCGCATCTCACTGAAGCTGAAGGACGAGGGTGTGCCAGCTACGGCGGTGCGGGAGGTGTCGCTGCTGCGGGAGCTGAACCACCCGTACGTGGTGCGCCTCCTCGACGTCTCGCTGCAAGAGTCGAAGCTGCTGCTCATCTTTGAGTACATGGAGAAGGACCTGCAGGGATTGCTCAAGCAGCGCACGACACCGTTGATAGGCGGAAAGCTGCAGCGCATCATGTTCCAGCTGTTGTTGGGGCTGCACGCCTGCCACAGTCGTCGCTTCGTGCACCGCGACATCAAGCCTAGCAACATTCTTATCAATCGTGACGAGACCGTCGTGAAGCTGGCGGACTTCGGATTGGGACGAGCGTTCCGCGTGCCGCTGCAGACGTACACAACCGAGGTGATGACGCTGTGGTACCGCGCGCCGGAGGTGCTGCTCGGTGACAACCACTACCTTCCCGCCGTTGACATTTGGTCGATGGGCTGCGTCATGGCGGAGCTCGCCAAAGGGTCACCGCTCTTCGCCGGTGATACCTCCATCAGTCAGCTGTTCGCCATCTTCCAAATCCTTGGCACCCCATCAGAGGCGACGTGGCGTGGCGTCTCATCGCTGCCGCACCACAACGTGGACTTCCCGCAGTGGCGCCCAACGCCCCTCAGCGACGTGATTCCGACACTCGATCCTGCTGGCGTCGACTTGCTGCAGCAGATGCTTGTATACGACCCGCGGCAGCGCATCACCGCCTACGACGCGATGCGCCACAGCTGGTTTGATGACGTTCGGCAGGAGAAGAGTGATGTGGCGCTTGCATAATGCCAGACGCGCTTCACACGCGCCTCTGAAAAAAGAGAGAGTGTGTGAGTGTATGTGTGTGTGTGTATGTGTGTGTGTAAGCGAAGGTGGAGTCTGCAGATACGAGAAACGGACGAGGCAGAATGCGAGCAGGCGTGAGGGACGAGGTGACGGGACGGATAGCGTCCGTGCACGGCGTAGAGCGTGGACGGGGTCCATGCGTGCCTGTGCGGCTCGCGGAAATCCGGGGGATGCGCCATGTTCCACGCGGTCGTGTGCAATGAACGCGACAAGAGAAACAAGACACACACACACACACACACACACACACACACACAAAGAGGCGAGCAACAACAGCAATGAAGAGGCAGGTGCGCGCTGATGGTCAGAGTTTGGATAGAAGGCATAAGAACGTTGTCTATTGTAGCGCCATTCAACGCAGGCTGGCACGTGTGGCGTGTACAGGACGAAGTGGTTCTATTTTCTTCACATCGACATATTTATGAGGATGGTTCAGAGAGAGAGAGAGAGGGAGAGGTATAGAGATGAGGCTGAGGTGAAAAAGAGCTTATAGAATGGGTATTGTTGATCTCGCATCTCCAAACATGGTACAATGCGGCTAGGCAGATGGAGTATCAGTCAAGGGATACGATGGCTAGGGAGGATGATAATAAGAAAACAAAAACCAAAAAAATGCGCAANTGGCACGTGTGGCGTGTACAGGACGAAGTGGTTCTATTTTCTTCACATCGACATATTTATGAGGATGGTTCAGAGAGAGAGAGAGAGAGAGAGAGAGAGGGAGAGGTGAAAAAGAGCTTATAGAATGGGTATTGTTGATCTCGCATCTCCAAACATGGTACAATGCGGCTAGGCAGATGGAGTATCAGTCAAGGGATACGAAGGCTAGGGAGGATGATAATAAGAAAACAAAAACCAAAAAAATGCGCAATAGCAGACGAAAAGAAAAGGCCAGAGTGAAGTGAATGGACTTTGACGCTGTATGGGCAACCGATGTGCGGTGTGTTTGCTTGACACGTCGGCGTCGTGGATTTGGGTGTACTGCGGAGGGGGTGTGGTGGCGTACTAAGGGCTAATTCGAGGGAAACGAATGTGAAAGGATGAAACAGGGGCGGCGGGATTGCTCAGGGACACATAATACGCAAACGAGGAAGGCGTGGTGCGTCGAACACAGAGGCATTCCTATAGAGACGCAGTCTGGACAAGAAGGTTGGGGGGGTGATAAGGACCTCTCAACCGAAGTGGAACTAGCGGGAGTTTTTTTTTTTTTTTT